AAGAGGGAAGGAATTGATAAAAGAATTGGATGATGAGCTTACTTTGTTGTTTGAGTATTATGAAAGAAGGGTGGGGCAACCTCCTCCACCACCACCTACACAAACACAAAGTCAGGTTGGTGAGGCTTCTAGTTCTAGTCATTTGGACCCACTATATGAAGATTGTGAAGATAATTATTCAGGATTTGATTCGGATTTCATACCTCCTACACTTTGTCAATTCAAATATGAGCTTGAGATGTATCTATCTCATCCTTGTGAAGGTGGAGCGGGAGGAACACAACTTGAGTCTGATGTATTACAGTGGTGGATGACCCATCATTTGAGGTATCCTATCTTGGCTGAGATGGCTAAGGATGTCTTTGCTGTCCCGATGTCTACAGTGCCTTCTGAGTCGGCTTTTAGTACCGGTGGGAGAATTTTAGATGACTTTAGGAGTTCATTACATCCTAAGATTGTTGAAGCACTAATATGTAGTGAGGGTTGGCTTAGATCTGGTTCCCTCCAACCTTTGGATGATGAGGAAGATGATTATGAGGATGATGAAGCTTTAGTCAATGGTAATGTTTATTAATATAGTTTTTTGTTGCTCTATTATCAAATATTAATTCTGAGTTTTGGATTTGCTAACTATTTATTTGGTTTGTTTTCTTCCTTTGTTTAGTTTAAAATGTCCTTATGGTGGAGCAGCAACTTGAGAGCGGAGTACCTCAAGATTCTAGCATGAGCAAAGAGATTGGAGGAAGTAATGATGTTGTCTCGACTTCGAACGTGTGAAGGACATGGTGTTTGAATTTGCACTAGATGGAATTTGTTGAACTTATTAGTATTGAACTATGGATGTTGTTGATTCTTAATCTCATGTTATGTTGGGTTGTAGACTTGAAATTGTTGGTATTATGTTGACTTTTGAACTTTGTCGGATTAGATGTCAATGCGTTTTTTATTTTAGTCACTAGTTAATATTTAACATTGGATAATACAGGTTTTGTTGAACATGGTCTACTCGGTCCAGACAGTACCGGACCGCACCGCACAGGCGTGGTCTGGACCGTATAGGTTATGGTCTGGTCTATGGTCTCTGTTCTACCCTCACGGTCTGGACCGCAGACCGTGTATATGGTCTGGTCTGGTCTGGTCTGGACCAGACCACACCGTTTCCCAGCCCTACGAAATAGGCCTAAAAAAAGCACAATTTTCTCCACCGCTAGTAGTGTCTTCTAATGGGCCCAAAGCTAACCCTTTTTATTTTGAAAGCAGGTTTTGTTGGAATTTGATGGTCCTTTTCTGCAAGTTTGCATTGTTTTATGTTGAACCGTCTGACCATCCAGGAAATAACTCGGTAAAAGAGCACCGCACCAGATAACCAATTGAGACAAATCAATATAATTATAATTGGTTATCCATGTTAGATTATTTTTCCACAACATCATTACTAGTATGAAAATTAACATGTCTCACGATGATATGGAGTTTAAACTCAATCCAGCTCACTCTTCCCATAGGTGGGCGAACAATATAACACTTGGTATTTGCTTCGTGCGCAAGGAACTGGATGATACGCTCATAAGGCCACAACATGTTTGCAGGAAAAATAGTAAATGATCAATATACGATGATAGGCTTGTGGCACGTGTGGAGCCAGAAATCCGAACGAGAGGAGAGTGGGTGGTTTTAATTGCAGTAATTCTGGGGGTTGAAGTCTTATTGAAAGTTTGTGCAAATATTTATATGTAATTTTATCTATATTTGAAAACTGAGAGGTGACTACAGTCCCTTCTAGTTTCAATCTAGATCCGCCAATGTCCAATCCTATTGGTAGATCCTAGTTTGCTTCCAACTTCCAATTCTTGATAATGGTTTAAAACGCAATAATTAATAAGGAGATATGAGATACGAGCTCTAAGTACTTCCAATGATTTTAGATAGAACATTTTATACCTCGATCAATATTCGAGGTTGAGTAATCCGCTAAGAATACTTCAACCTGCTTTTTTCTTGTAGTTGTGATAAATCGAGAAAAACTTCCAAACGAAAATATCGAGACAAGCAATTTTAACGTGGTATCCCCGAAGTGTTCGGGACTAATCCACGGGAGGGTTGAATCCTCCAGCTACTGATTTTATTCCTCTTGAATTATTGACGGCATAAGCCGAGTACAGGAGCTATATAAACCCTTTCGACATGTATCTAGGGTTAGCTTATTTGTGGTGTCCTTGGAGAACGCGGAAACCATGCAGGCCATGGGTTGCTGCATCTCGTCCGTGGGCTTTTGTGCCTGAGTCATGGGCCGAGCCGACTTCTGGTCCAACACTCCCCCACAAGCTGGAGCGTGAAGGTCACGAACGTTCAGCTTGGAAAGAAGAAAGCGGAAGCGATCAGTGCCCAAGCCTTTCGTGAGAATATCGGCAAGCTGCAAATGAGTGCAATGACCTTGAGAGGAAGAATGGCGCCCGACTGCACTCGTTCTCGGACAAAGTAGCAATCCATCTCGACGTGTTTGGTGCGCTCATGGAACACTAGATTGGAAGAGATGTGCAGGGCCGCCTGATTGTCACAGTATAGGGGAGTGGCTCGCTGTTGTGGGGCACCGAGCTCAGCGAGTAACCAGCGGAGCCAGAGAAGTTCACTAACTGTACTAGCCATAGCTCTGTATTCCGCCTCGGCAGACGACCGTGCCACCACCTTTTGTTTCTTGGTCCGCCAGGAGATAGGAGCACCGCCAAGAGTGATGAAGTATCCAGTCGTGGACCTACGAGTATTCGCACACCCACCCCAATCTGCATCACAATAGGCCGTTAGAGTAAGATCTTTATGTAAAGGGAGGAAAATCCCTTGCCCTGGCGAGGTCTTAAGATACCGAAGAATGCGCAAGGCCGCATCCATGTGACAGTGGTGGGGAGCATTGAAAAACTGGCTCAAAATGTTAACCCCATATGTGATATCCGGACGGGTGACCGTCAAGTAGAGAAGACGACCCACAAGGCGCCTATACACTGAGGGATCTGCAAGTGGAGCATCATCAGGATCGGGGCGAGACAGGTGATGATTCTGCTCGACCGGGAACCTGCTAGGACGAGCTCCTTCCATCCCTGCATCTTCAAGAATGTCCAACGCATACTTACGCTGGCAGAGAACAACCCCATCGCGAGTGCGGGCCACCTCCATGCCAAGGAAATAACAAAGATCCCCCAAATCCTTGATGCTGAACTTCTCATCGAGAAAACGCTTGACATGGGTGATGAAGGCCAGGTCATTCCCGGTCAAAAGAACATCGTCGACATAAATGAGAGCAACCACAAAGGTACTCCCCCGCCGAAAAATAAACAACGAGTGGTCGGCGGGCGAGGAACGAAAACCAAGACTGCAAAGTGCTGTAGTGAACTTCTGGTACCAATTACGAGAAGCTTGACGTAGGCCATAAAGAGACTTGTGGAGGCGACAAACCCGGGTGTCACCAGGAGCCGCAAAACTGGGAGGAAGCTTCATGTAGACTTCCTCATCGAGGTCTCCATGAAGAAACGCGTTGTTGACGTCGAGTTGGTGAATGTACCATCCTCGGCTAATAGCGATCCCAAGAAGACAGCGAACAGTGACCAGCTTGGCCACAGGGGCAAAGGTGTCGTGGAAATCAATTCCCTCGATCTGAGTGTAACCCTTGGCCACTAGTCGAGCCTTGTAGCATTCGATAGACCCATCGGGGCGGTATTTGATGCTTTTCGATCAGATGATTCGGCGACAGTTCGGCAAACGACTTAAACGAATCCAGGCAGAGTCCAGCAACCATTCAGTGCTTAAAGAAAACATACCTGCCACATGTGCCGAGGGGTCGTCAGCACCCTTAGCCTGATACCCAAAAAACTGTTTGAGTTGCTCCAACTGTGCCAACGTAAAACCAGCAACCGGGCTACGCTCGTCCTTGTCGTGCTCAACCTGAGCAGCTCGCGGCTCTCGATCGCGATCGCGCGCCGAGCCCTCTCCAGCAGAATGACCCTGCTGTCGACGCCATTGCTGCTCACTCGGCTTTTCTCGAGGATCACGAGCATCACTGTTGGGACGAGAATCACGTCCATCAGGCCCTTCACGACCTTCGCGCGGAGGATATCCGTGCAGCTGGTAACACTGTTCACGGAGGTGGCCAGGCCTTTGACAATAGCTGCAGCGAGGTTTTTCCTTCCCACCACGCGCTATAGCACGATCACCCTCATTGCGAATAGAGAATGCGGCCGCTTCTGCAGAAGGCTTGCGGTTCTGTGTGATCAGCCGCTGCTGTTCATCATTGATGGTGATGTTAAACGCCTCAGCCAGACTTGGCGTAGGCTTCATGGCAAGGAGTTGAGTCCGAACGCCTGAGAACGCATCGTCCAACCCCATCAGAAAATCAAAGAGACGTGAACTCTCTTGCTGTTCACGGATACGAAGTGAGACACCACAAGTGCAGTGGCCACATGTGCAGCTGGGGGTTGGCGATATTGCCGTAGACTCCTCCCAATATGAACGCAGCTTTGTGTAAAAAGCTGAAACAAAATTTTATTCTTGTTGAAGCAAGCTAATCATCCGACGCAGCTCATATGCGCGAGACGCATTAACGTGGTATCCCCGAAGTGTTCGGGACTAATCCACGGGAGGGTTGAATCCTCCAGCTACTGATTTTATTCCTCTTGAATTATTGACGGCATAAGCCGAGTACAGGAGCTATATAAACCCTTTCGACATGTATCTAGGGTTAGCTTATTTGTGGTGTCCTTGGAGAACGCGGAAACCATGCAGGCCATGGGTTGCTGCATCTCGTCCGTGGGCTTTTGTGCCTCAGTCATGGGCTCATCGTGACTGGTTACTGCAGCAAGAAAGGTGCGGTAAGCAGGGGTAAATTTTTCATAGGAAACAAAATTTGAAAGTGGATAAGGAACAGTAGTAGAGGTGCTTCCTGTGATGAAGGATTGTCGGTTTGATTTTCTTGTGAAGGAGCAGTATAGAGTGGGGCATAATGGGTGTCATAAATGCCCATGTGCTTCGGCCGTGTCCGGACGCGATCTCCACGGCGCACGGGTTGCTGCGGGGGACTTGGATTGGGCGGGCCCAAAGTAGTGGCAGCGGGAGGTGGGCTTGCCTCAGTTGAGGGCGAGGGCGGCCCAGAAGGACTCGTGGGCGAAGGTGAGCTGGGAGTCACGTCGGGGGCGCCCGCATCATCCGAAGCAGGCCCAACAGAAGGTGGGACTTGGGCCGGCCTGGACGGGCTGAGGTCCGCCAGCAACTCGTCGTCGGAGTCAGGGTCGGTGGTGGAGAAATTGGGCCGCGGGATCCAGTGAAGACGTCCGGAGGTAGCATAGTGAAAAGGAAAATCATCTTCAATAAAGTGAACATCACGAGCAGTGAAGGTCTTCTGTGTGGCTAGCTCGTAAAACTGATACCCTTTTTGTGTGGAGGCGTATCCAATGAACACACAAGCTTTCCCTCGTTCAGCAAATTTGTCAAGGGAGGCATGGGTATCCTTGACATACGCAAGGCACCCAAAAACGCGGAGATGCGAGTAAGGAGCTGGTCGGTTGAATAGGACTTCAAAGGGGGTGCGACCTGTAGTGGTAGTGGGTAAACGGTTGATTAGATAAACTGCAGTAAGAATACACTCACCCCAGAATTTAATCGGGAGATTAGCTTGAAAACAGAGCGCACGTGCGGTGTCCAGAATGTGCCTATGCTTTCTCTCGACAACACCGTTCTGCTGAGGTGTGTCAGTACAAGAAGTTTGGAGCTGAATACCCTCACTGTCGTAGTAAGCTCGAAGAGCCAGAGTGTTAAACTCATGACCATTGTCTGCCTGGATTCGTTTAAGTCGTTTGCCGAACTGTCGCCGAATTATCTGATCGAAAAGCATCAAGTAGCGCCCGACATCTGACTTAAAACGAAGCAAATAAACCCATACTGCGCGACTGAAATCATCAACAATAGTGAGAAAATAATGGTCACCACTGAGCGAGGCAGTCTTGTAACCACCCCAAATATCCACATGGATTAAATCAAAACACTGCTTAGTACGAATCATGCTAGAGGGAAAGGGACTACGAGTCTGTTTGGCCCGAGAGCATGAATCACAAGTTTTATTTGAAACAAAAGAAATGCTAAGCTCCTTGCGAAGGTGCTGCAATTTCGCCAGGGAGGGGTGACCGAGTCGTGCATGCCAAATCTCATCCTGTACCTTGCTCTGCTTCTTTGCTGCACAAGCTTGAACCTGCCCAACACCAAATAGTCGCAAATAGTACAACCCATCACGTAGTTCACCCTTCCCAATCAACTTCCTGGATTGTAAGTTCTGGATGACGCAAAAAAACATCAAGAAATATTAAGGCCATACGGTTTTCTCTAGCAAATCGACTGACCGAAATTAAGTTACACCGGAACTCAGGGACGTGCAGGACACAGTTCAGTGTAAGATCGGGGCCCAAAACAACACTCCCAACATGTTCAACAGGTATACAGTCACCATTAGGAATGCGCACTGGCTGCCCATTCACGGGCTTCATCTTGTTGATCAACAAATCATCATGCATGATAATGTGTTCATTACAGCCAGAGTCCAGCAACCATTCAGTGCTTAAAGAAAACATACCTGTCACATGTGCCGAGGGGTCGTCAGCACCCTTAGCCTGATACCCAAAAAACTGTTTGAGTTGCTCCAACTGTGCCAACGTAAAACCAGCAACCGGGCTACGCCCGTCCTTGTCGTGCTCAACCTGAGCTGCTCGCGGCTCTCGATCGCGATCGCGCGCCGAGCCCTCTCCAGCAGAACGACCCTGCTGTCGACGCCATTGCTGCTCACTCTGCTTTTCTCGAGGATCACGAGCATCACTGTTGGGACGAGAATCACGTCCATCACGCCCTTCACGACCTTCGCGCGGAGGATATCCGTGCAGCTGGTAACACTGTTCACGGAGGTGGCCAGGCCTTTGATAATAGCTGCAGCGAGGTTTTTCCTTCCCACCACGCGCTGTAGCACGATCACCCTCATTGCGAACAGAGAATGCGGCCGCTTCTGCAGAAGGCTTGCGGTTCTGTGTGATCAGCCGCTGCTGTTCATCATTGATGGTGATGTTAAACGCCTCAGCCAGACTTGGCGTGGGCTTCATGGCAAGGAGTTGAGTCCGAACGCCTGAGAACGCATCGTCCAACCCCATCAGGAAATCAAAGAGACGTGAACTCTCTTGCTGTTCATGGATACGAAGCGAGACACCACAAGTGCAGTGGTCACATATGCAGCTGGGGGTTGGCGATATTGTCGTAGACTCCTCCCAATATGAACGCAGCTTTGTGTAAAAAGCTGAAACATAATTTTTTTCTTATTGAAGCAAGCTAATCATCCGACGCAGCTCATATGCGCGAGACGCATTGCCTTGCCCAAACCGATTGCGAAGATCATCCCAAATCTCACGAGATGTCTCGGCAAACCTGATGCTACTACGAATCTCCTTGTTCATAGCAGTCTTGAGCCATCCTTTGACCATGGCGTCGCAACGGATCCAAGCGTTCCGCATCTCTCCCGCGGCAGGTTGGCCAACGATCCATCAACGAAAGCAAACTTATTTTTAGCGATAAGAGAATCCTTCATGTCGAGAGCCCATTCTCCATAATTGGTAGACGTCAAAACATCACCGACCAAGAGCTGTCCTGGTCCATCAGAATTGTGAAGAAGAAGAACCGGCGGGAGATTGTTGCCGCCGTCTTCGAAATGGGTAACACTGCTGGAATCATCAACAGCAGTCTTGCCGTCCGTCATTGTGGCGAGAGGCTAGCAGGATGCTACTGCTCTGATACCATGATAAATCGAGAAAAACTTCCAAACGAAAATATCGAGACAAGCAATTTTAACGTGGTATCCCCGAAGTGTTCGGGACTAATCCACGGGAGGGTTGAATCCTCCAGCTACTGATTTTATTCCTCTTGAATTATTGACGGCATAAGCCGAGTACAGGAGCTATATAAACCCTTTCGACATGTATCTAGGGTTAGCTTATTTGTGGTGTCCTTGGAGAACGCGGAAACCATGCAGGCCATGGGTTGCTGCATCTCGTCCGTGGGCTTTTGTGCTTCAGTCATGGGCCGAGCCGACTTCTGGTCCAACAAGTTGAGAATTGAGATGATTAATTCATTGAAGATCTAGATTATTGTACAATTTACTCTATCATTAACGAAAGATTGTGTTAATTCTATACTTAAATTGTGATATATCCTACGTGCTTCTCAGCCAACTTGTCTTCCACAAATCCTCAAGCTAACACCAACGCCATGTTGCTTGTCAGCTCGAACAAAATATTTAAGTACATTTAATCAATTCAATTGACACCAAATACAGCATGGTCTCATCAAAATCTCCAATTAACAATCACCGAATTCCCGTCGATCATAGTCGTCGCCGTCCCCAAATCCAGCCCATTTTCCGGCCGGGACGCGATGCCTTGTTTCGCAAGCCGTTGAAATTATGCTTATTCTCCTGATAACAAGCTTCCCAAAAGGAATGTCTTGCAAAACATAGCCATGAACAGGAATTAGGCGGCGCCACACGCTTCACAAATCATGGTGGCACTGGCAGCGCTGTGCTTCCAACTTTCGAAGCAATATCCAAAGTCCAGACGAAATGGATAGAAAGCTGGCGGATTTCCTCCGCTGCTGCAATGCCAACTCACGTTAAACATCCCCCCAAATTAAACTGATCTCCATCGTCTTCCCCACACGACTTCAACACCAAGATATCGGCTCCTCCCTGAATCCCGATTTCCCCTTATAAACATTTCGTCGAACATCTTCGCAGCAATCCATTCAAACCCATCATCCAACCCCAACTTCCCAAAACAAACACAATCCCTTCATCACGACATAGATCGGCTGCACTTCCACCGAGGCGAAAAAAACCCAAATCCTGGTTTCTTGTGTAGGCGCACATGGGATTTGTTCCGTGGAAAATGGTGAAGCTTTATATCCAACTTCTGGCCGCCGTTTTCCTGATTGTTCGAGCTCCAACTATGACTTCGGGGGCTCTGTCTCTTGCAACGAGCTTCTCCATCGCCAACTTGATAAGGGTGGATCAGTCAGGGAAAGGGGATTTCAGGACGATTCAGGAAGCCATCGACTCTGTTCCTTCGGGAAACTCTGAGCTGGTTTTCATATGGGTGAAGCCTGGAGTCTACGTGGAGAAAGTCTTGGTTCCGGAGGACAAGCCTTTCATAACTCTAAGTGGCAACCAGGGTGCCAACAGTACCGTCATCACATGGAGCGAGCAAGGCGACATATTTGAGACTGCGACTCTCTCTGTTCTGGCTCCTTTCTTCGTTGGCAGATTCCTCACCATTCAGGTATATGTCAATGTAATCATGGCATTCGTACATCAAAGAATTGGTGTTTGATACGGCACTAGACTCTTCCGTTCATATGTTTCGTGATCGAGTTTTAAAGCACAACCTTTTTTTAGTCTCTTCAAATGATTTAAGCATGTGAATTGGAAATTTTTCGAACAATTGAGTTAATTTTATTTGAAAGATTGTATTTGTATATTTCTCAACAATTCAAGTCGGATGATCTGACTCGTATCATGGTATCAAAATCATTTATTGAAATTTTATTCTTATTACTATTTATTAAGCGGTGTAGTGGTAAATAACACAAATTTTAGGGGCATTCATATAGGACTTTAGGAGCATTCTTCTTGGTGCTTCTTTCCCTTTTTTTCATGCTTTTTTGGTGGTCTCCTTCTAGAGTTGTCTACTTCTCTCTCACACGCTAAGAAGGAACAAAAATAGAAGATGAAGAAATAACTAACGTCGGGGACGGAAATCACCACAATAGTTTCGATCTTCTTATTCGAGTGATTCAATCTCTCTCCGTTACTTAAATTCATCTTCTTCACATTTAAGATGCCAACTATCTCATTTTGAAGTTGTATTTAGGTAATGGAATAATTGTTTTATTTTTACATAGAGCTATTTTAGGAATCTGAGGTCTGGCAATTTTGTTTCACAAGTTTATAAGTATGTATAGTATTTTAATAAGAGTTTGACTCGACGGTTTTAACCTAGTCTTACTCGATAGTATGTATATCGCGCTTCTATGTTCCGTAACCTCATGGGTGCACGAGTGCAACTTGTTACAGAGCTCCCCCACAACATCTAGTGGTTTTTCTCCCTACTTTTGAGTTTTCTCGTTATATTTTGTTAATTATTTCATACAACATATTTACGGTAGTGTCTTCCACCCGTCATGAATCGTGAGCGAGCAAGACATAACTACTATACCAATAATTAATTTAGCCACGTAATATGTTGGGTCTATACAAATTTAAAAAACAAATGAGACAACTTGCAATGAGAACGAAATACATACATACATACTTGATTCTCTTTCAACCACTCAAATTATTGTCACAAACAGTTTCTTCGGGGCTTGCTATTTGCCGCCAACCAAATTGCTATTTGCCGCCAACCAAAAAAAAAATATATATATATATATATATATGCATCTTTGGTTAAGGAGTTTCACAATCTACAACATATCCAACTTTCAGAGAACGTATTTAATCAGAAAAATTCAACGCTCGCCGGAAAAGTCGCCGGAAAGTCGCCGGAAAATCATCGATGAAAAAAAATGTATATATATATACATCTTTGGTTAAGGAGTTTCACAATCTACAACATATCCAACTTTCAGAGAACGTATTGAATCAGAAAAATTCAACGCTCGCCGGAAAAGTCGTCGGAAAATCATCCGGAAAGCCTATCCTCGACATATAATGCGTACACGCATCCATGAATCATCACTAACCATCAGACAATGTGGGCAAAGTGCTACACGAACCATGTGTTTCAAACCCTAAACCCTAAGTGAACCCTGAACCCTAAACCCTTTGTTGATGTGACTTGAATCGGACTATCAGCCGCTACGACTGGTAATCGGGGGTCTCGCTGCCCGGTCAGCGAGTGGGGTCCAGGGGCAACGCCCCGGTGGGGGTGCGGGGGCAACGCCCCCGGCCCACGGTGTATGGGCTCAATGTTATTTGGGTTCGGGTTCTGGGCCTGGTCTGTAACCGTTTCCTTTGTCATATTGGATTAGGTTTAGACCCACATGGAGAAGTACTATAAATACTTCGTGTTAGTGAACTACGTAAATCGTGTGTCGTGTTGCAATGCTCTATTTATATGTTGTTGTTTTTCTAGTTGTATTTTTAATGACCCTAGTGTCATTATGAACTTATGAATTTCATTATGGATTTCTAGCGAGTTCGGGGTCGATTGGACGAAGATCGGGCGCGAGGCAAGTCAATCGTCGGTCGCCGGCACCGTTCTTCCGTCGTCGGCTAACCTCCCGTCGCCCTCAATCGTCGGAAAACAAATAAGTTTACTTTTTCCGGCCAGTTTTCCAGTTTTCCGGTAAGTTTTCCAGTTTTCCGGCGAAAAACACGGCGGGCCGAAAAAAAATTGCGGCCCGAACGTCGCCGAGCCGAAAAAAATTTGTGGCCGGGACGACGGCCGGCCGAAAAATTCTTTCGGCCCGGCGACGCCACGGCCGCAAATTTTTTTCGGCCGGCCGACGAACACGCCGCCGGAAAATTTTTGGCCGGCGTGTTCGGCGACCGGCCGAAAAAAATTTGCGGCCGTGGCGTCGCCGGGCCGAAAGAATTTTTCGGCCGGCCGTCGTCCCGGCCACAAATTTTTTTCGGCTCGGCGACGTTCGGGCCGCAATTTTTTTTCGGCCCGCCGTGTTTTTCGCCGGAAAACTGAAAAACTGGCCGGAAAAAGTAAACTTACTTGTTTTCCGACGATTGAGGGCGACGGGAGGTTAGCCGACGACGGAAGAACGGTGCCGGCGACGGAGGCACTGGGAAGGAAGGGAAAATTCAAAATTTAAATTTTTTTTTTTTTACCGGTGACGGAGGCATTGGGAAGGAATAGAAAATTCAAATTTTGAATTCTTTTTTTTTTTTAGTTGGCGGCAAATAGCAATTTGATTGGCGGCAAATAGCCGTTCACGTTTCTTAATACGCTGGTTGTTACAGAACACGTTTGGGAGCGGGGGGAAAGCAGTGGCGTTGAGGGTATCAGGAGACAAAGCTGCGTTCTACGCCTGCAGAATACTGTCATACCAGGACACCCTTCTTGACGACAGTGGATCCCATTACTACAGCAACTGCTACATCGAAGGAGCCACAGACTTCATCTGTGGCCATGCTACCTCCCTCTTCGAGGTATAATTGTTTCCAGATCATGCTCAATTAGTGCCTCCTTTGTTCAATTTTCTGAGCTTCTTGTTCTCTGTTGTATGTTGTGCATGAATTGTGCAGAAATGTCATATCCACTCACTTTCAGAGGGCAACAACTCGATCACAGCCCAGCACAGAGACGAGGAGTCGGACGAAACAGGGTACACTTTCTTGGGGTGCAAGATAACTGGAACTGGGAGTACCTTGCTGGGGAGGGCATGGGGTGCTTACTCCAGGGTGGTTTTTGCCTATTCCTACATGGATTCTGTTGTCCTGCCAACTGGATGGAGTGATTGGGGAGACCAAACCAAGCACAGGTATTTCCTAACATAAAAAAAAAAATTCAAAGACCCTTTTTGGGACAATGACTTAAAATGATGGTCTCTGATTTTTGTATTGTGGTTTCATTGTCATTGTTGCAGCACTGTGTTTTATGGCGAGTACAAGAACTATGGTCCTGGAGCTGACAGATCCAACAGGGTGGAATGGTCCAAGAAGCTGTCAGCTGATGAGGTTTCGCCTTTCTTGAGCAAGGAGATGATTGGTGGGAGATACTGGATTAGGGCTGCCCCAAAGTTCTTCAGGATTGGGTCCAAAATTGTTAGAGCTGGCAATGGTGGCAATCCCAGCTCCATGCCCTGAAACACCATATCTACTGGGAATTTTGTGTTGTCAATATTTTCTTGTGTGTGGCAAGTAAATTAGTAATTACCTACCGGTGTATTATGGTTAAAGTGATTGGTTCATTAATTTGTCCTCCCAATGAGAGAGGAGTGTTGTTTTTACTTGTAAATACAAATTACTCTTTGTATATTCCATATCTTGAAAGTCAAGCGTTCTTAATTCGTAGCAGGAAACTCAAATCATCGGGCGAGGGATGAGGTCATGAGGGCAATCTAGAATTTCAATATCATCCCATAAAAAGGTTTCGATATACTGCAAATATGTAGATGATATGATATTGTATGATCAAGTTATACTACTAAATATGTACATCTCACAAACAATTATGACAGGATAGTCAAATGTTTTATTTCACTGTATCTAAATTCGTAAAATGCCATCTGTAATGAACCCTGATTCACCCATCTTAATTCCTAACCACTCATCGTCTGATCAACACGTTGAGATTAAAGTAGCCGAGAAGCTCATTCATTCATTCATGATTTTAGCACTCGGAAAGAACATTATAAGATTAAACTTTAACTTAGCCGTAAATAACACATGGGTGGAGTTCTTATTAATGTTTTTGTTCCATGCCACTACTCTAAATTTACAATCTTTCCTCAATACGTTCCTTTCAACCATGGTCCATGAAACCGTACCGGAGACCGTATCGGGAAAGTCAGCGGTAAGGTATTTTATGGTAAAATCGTGGTTTAACCGTAGTTCAACCGTTATACCGGTAAATGTCGCATATCGGTTTTGCCTCCGATACTGGTATTTCGTGATTGAACCGCCGATACGGTACGGCTTAATGAACACTGCTTTCAACTTGCAAAGAACATCAGTATATTATATATAACATAAATTATTATCAAAGACATTTGTCCCTTTTGTTGACAACGACCCGCCTAACATGGTCCCATAAATTACCCACATTAACCAAAATGGTACCCCATATAATTAATTCATACAAAAACATCCCTCCCAGTTGCCTCTAACAATACAAATAATAGAGCCCATTAACCACATTTATAATGGTCCGACGCCATTCAAATAGAGTAATAAATGAAATGGTAAATGACGATAATTAAATGCAACCAACCTACGTCCCTTCATTTCCTAGTAAATTGAATGCTCAACCCGTCAACTATTACCTTATTGCAACTTTCAGTCCTCGGCAATAACGTCACCCAAATCGCCCTATCCTGGTCCGCTTCCAAATCCTCCAAGGCCTCCGATAACCCAAGCTTCAACGTGATCTTCTTCCCCACCGACGAACCCGACGGGATGTCGACGAACGTCCCGACGAATTCCCGGTACTTGGGACTCATAATCGTACTGTCCACAACGTTAATGTAGACGTCGAACTTCACGAAATCGTCTGCCTTCACATCGATCCCTTCCACGACCAAGATTTCTTCTAGTTGCGCCTTCTCCCTGCGTGCCCTGCTCCGAACCTCTCTCGGTCGGACCACCCGGACCGTCACGGTCGAGTCGAGAACCCTACCGGTGGGACCGAATTGGCTCCCGGTCGGGAGCTCGACAACGTTCTGCTCCTTCTCCCTCTTCCTGATCTCTCTCCGGGCGAGCCGGGGAGAGACCGAGGGCTTGGGCCGGGCGGCAAGCCACGTGTTCTCTACGCCCTCGTACCGGTACCGGAGCTTGTCGATGTCCATGACGTCCCTGAACCGGATCCGGACCAACCGGCTCGTGTCGTCGTGGAAGTACATGTACGAGTCGAGGAACTCCGGGTCGTTGACCTCCGGGTGGGTCGCCCGCCAGACCTCCCAGAGCCGGTCTATGTTGGAGTGGTGGGCGTAGAAGCTCGGGTCCCTCGCGGCGGAGTAGAAAACACCCATATCCTCCCGCCCGGTGTGAAAAGCCGACCCGACCCACTTGTGAATCGTGTTGTGCGGGGCCCGCTCCATGGTCCCGGGTCCGAAGCAATCGCCGCCTTCCCCTGTTTTATAGGCGCAGCCCATGAACAGCTCCGCCGTCTTGGCGCCGGAGACCATCTGATTGTACATCAGGGCCAGGTTCAGATCCGTCTGCTCCTCCGGGCTGGTCCCGCCGGGGGCCAATTGGAAGTCCAGATCTGCAACCGCGGGCGGGAAATGGGTCGGGTCGCGCTGGTGGTTGATGAACGACCCGTTTAGGTAAAACGCCGGGAGCGTCATCCCGTCGGGCAGATCCCAAGGCCAGAACGGAATTGCAAAAGTGTCGTCGCCGATTAAGCTCCCGAGGATCTTCTCGTGGAAATAGAGCAGCATCCGGTGCCAGGGGAAGAAGATCCAGGTCTTGTGGACCCGAACCGGGAGGGTTGAATGCTGCTGGAGAAACGACCCGGTACAGTACTGGCAGTGGAGATTCGCCTGCCGGGTGAAGCTCCTCGGGTCGGAGTAGGGGAGAGATCTCATGATGGAGACCGCCTTCTCGTACTTCGCTATGGATTCTTCGTCGAGGCGGTGGGCGAATCGGCGGACCCGAATCGGGGTCGTGGCCGGGTCGGGGAACTCGAAGTCGACGATCGGGTCGTCGAGCATGTTTCGGGGCGGGCAGCAGTAAACGGGTTTTCCGGGTCGGCCGAATGTGGGGAGGCAGACCGTCAAGTTGACTTGCACCGGGAGGAGCTTGTTCCCCTTCAGCTTCTTGCCGGAAGGTTGACTGGTCAACGCCGCCGACCACCCGCCTAAACCGTCGGGTACAACCCGGTTCAGCTTCCTGTAAGGGGAAAAATTCCAGATCCAAGAATGGAAAGGAGAACAGAGTAAGAAACAGAGTCACGGTAAGCTGCCTGAACTGAAGAGGAAGAGGGGAACAGAGTTTTACCCAATGATTTCAGTACGGATTGTGGAAGAATCCATGGCGGAGAGCATGAAGACGGAGACGCCGAGAATGCAGATGAGGGTGAAAGAGAGGATCCATTTCTGTGGATCCATGGAAGCTCTAGCTAGCTCCAAGGTCTTTGCCTGGAATGAGAGCTGCTCTATGACTCTCTTCTCTCAGTGGGAATCAAAGTCTGATATAAATGTTGAAAGATTGTAAATTATTATAAGCTTATTTTTTCCTCTCTTTTTCTGTGGGTAGAATATTCCAAATTATTTGGTAAGGTGGAGTATTATTTTATTGTGAGGATGTGAGAGGGATTGCCTTTGCCATTGGACTGGCGGAATGGTAGGTGGGAGGAGAGGAGGTAGTACGTGGAGCTGTGGAAGTGGGAGCAGGGAAACCATGGCGGAGGAATGGCCATATAGTTAAGGTGACAAAGATAATGGGACAACCTTAATAAATTTCAGGATGACAAGCTTTTCTTTCTCCCGAAATGATATATGGCTTTTTTTTCCATAAAAAAAGGGGAAATTTGTTCACATAATAAATTGGAAAGTTTTAATGATGATAAAATTTGAGAGTTAACAAATGTGGTCCTGAAATTTTCTGAATATCGGCTCAAAAAATATTTAATCTAACTATTTGATTCTTGTATGTATTTCAATTTTACATCTCTAATTTTTCACCAACGAACTCGTTGTCTCTATGAGTACCTCCAATTTATGGATAGTGCCTATGAATTATTGAATCTATGATGAGGTAATTTCAGCTACAAAGCGTTAGGATCTAGTCAAAATTTATTGAACCGACATCCATCTTCGATTCGACCTTATGTCCAAATAAATCAGACCTTTGGTTGGGCCGGTTTTTATAGATTTACAACATAAATTTCAAAAGACCACATATTCAAATTGATTCAAAAGACCACATGGTTTTGAGGGTTCAGTTTTGTTTAAGCAGATACGCGGTGGGCTTAAGAGTTTTGTTGGTTTGTGGTTGAAAAGTTGGATGGGTTGTAGTGGCGGATTCCGAAAATTTTCATAGGGGTGTCCTGTTCAAAAATTAAATTAAATTATATAATAAATTAAATAATTCCTATATTAAAAATATCATACTTGTATAATTTGTATAAATTTTTTATTAAATAATAAATTAAAATTCATATTTTGAAAAAAAAAAACTCCGTGTATGCACTGTTCAAAAAAAATCTACATATCCTATAGACAATATTTCACGAACTTATCACATATTCGATTTCTAACCTTGTTCTTAATGTAGCTCAAAGTAGACAAGACTCTTTCAACACTTGCCGTGTAACCATAAAATCAATTCAAAATTAAGGGTAGCGTGTACGTAGTTTAATTATTAGGTATTGACAATAGTTGGGGATAAAGAAATAGTGTTTTACTGTTGCATGATGTTTAAAATAAAATAACAAATGAGTAGCAACATAATTAGAATATGTTTGATAATAGTAGTGTCCTAGGTTGGAATAACACGGACTACCACTTATATTTTGTTAACCATAAGCAAACTATTATCGAGAGTAGGATAATCATTTTTTCAAATGTTAGGGTGTCCCGGATTATCAATTATATTTTATATACACATACTAAACTACTACCGGAGGTTGGATAATCGTTTCTCCAAATTTTAGGGGTGTCCCGGGACACCCCTAGAGGCCCATGTATCCGCCCCTGATGGGTTGTGTGTCTAGTACAGTTCACTCGTACTCACGTACTCTTTAGTGGATCGCGTATTTTAAAACCCGCACTCATCCATAAGCACCAATTACGCTGAATTCGTGGGTTCAACCACCTGGTGCTCGCCTCTCATCCATAGAAACTTACAATCCTGCATATCGATTAGACTATGGAATTCGTTTCATCTCACATTTACGTAGAAACCATAATTTGACCTCATCATCGTCTATGATCTAGCCCGGGCCTCGAAATGAATTGAATCGTCTAGGAAGAAAGGAGATCAATCAATCACTTAATATATTTTAAATGGGTGTATCTTTCTTCTCGTGATGTAGTGGAGAGATTCCATTTTGTTAGCTAGCAATCAATCCGTGTTCCATGTGACTGCATGATTTTGAGCTAGTACTCGAAACTCGTCTCGTTGGCTGCCCTAAATAATTAAATTGTAAAGGACGATCTATCGCCACTGTTGCTAGATCATCATGCTAGTGACCCTAAAGATGAATGAAAATATATTTAATTAATTGACAGCTAATGAAAATGGGTATTTAATCATCCACCACGTGTTTTTAATTTCCCCCCAAAAATCTATATTATAAAAAAAAAAAAAGGTCCATGTCCACATACCAAGGGGAGGAGAGGACGACTGACGGACGAACGGACGGTGGATATGAGGGCTGGCGGGTAGCGACAATGTGGTGTGGTGGGTAAGGGTAAGGGGTAAGTAGGAGCTCGTGAGACAAAAGCAGCCATCAGCCAGCCTCAATACAATGATAAAAATAAAAACAACCAGAAGAAGCCCACGACAAGGTTGTTAAACCGGTTTGAACTATTGAGCCGATCAACAAATGGTTTAATTTGTTTGTGGAGACATGTCTAATTTGTTCTTTCTAATTATGTAGAATGAAGTTGAATTATGGAGTAGGGAGTAAAGAAACTTAGTTGACAAGGAGGAAGAAACTTTCAATTAATCATATTGTTTTTAATTTTGAACAATTTGTATAGATAATTTGCGGTTTGCTTGTATGCTCTAGATTGGTGTTTTTTGTATGAGAAAATTTATGTTAAGACTTTTATTTTGAAAGAAACTTGTTATTAAAAAAAATTCACGGGTACCCATGAATTTGATTTTTTCAAATATAGCGAGTTTTACTCTGAGCTTTTTTTACGAATAAACCCAAAAATTTGTATTTGATTTTGACAAAACCCGATCCATTGCCATCCCTACACCCCCACCCCCAGCCTTTCATTTTCTCTTTTCCCATCTGGTGGTTCCTTCCATTTACTTTGCCAAATAACAAAAAGAATATATTATAATGATTTTTTTTTATCACCACGTGTTTGTTTCTAGAACTCGTTAATGGAGTTGACGAAGAGGTCTTTCTTCCGGCGATTTGACATTGCCGAATCAGAGCATGCATACTAAACTTGTCCATGTCATCACATATGGTCACAACTCACAACTCACAAGCAAAACGAGGAAAATCTTCGAGATGGTCTGCTGACTACGAACTTCAAATATGTATTGTGTTCTTGTGTTTCTAAATATATTAATAGGCGGGTAGGGTTTGGTTTTAATATTATATTGGGTTTGAATCATTAACGATTTAATATTATATTTGAAAAATTGACTAATTAAAATACAAAAGTAGTCGATACTATACTACAATATTACTTGGTGTTAAGGTTGTCAAATCGCGTTTCTGGCTGGGCGGCGTCGCTTCTGTCTGGAAGAAGGCGAGAAGGGTCTGGAAACGAAAACCCTACCTGCTACCTACCACTCCATTTCGCGCAACCTATCATCGTCGTCTGGGAGAAGGCGTGAAACAGAAGGAGAGCCGCTCGATCGCCATCGCCAAGCCAGGGCTCCCTTCATCGGCGGCGCGCTCCAGGTCGCCGAGGGAGTCTTCTCCCTTCGACCTTCACAGCTCAGCCACACCGCTCAGTCTCCCCCACCTAGAGTTGCCGCCACTGCCTTCGTCTGGTGTCTCCCTCGAGCTCGGTCGCCCTTGCATGGACAGTCGACAGCTCGAGCTCGGTCGCCCTTGCCCTTCCATCAGCTCGACCTTGCCGATCGCACTTCCTCCCTCTGTTTGATTCGATTGAATTACTGGTAAGGGTTAGTTACTTAGTTGGATTTGGAACTTGGTTCCAACTTCCAATAAATGCAAACAAACACGAATTGGGATTGGGATGTTTTATATTTTAGATGAATTTCGGGCTAAATCGGGTGATCCATTAACCTATGACTCACTAGTTTAACCGGGTCTGGGTCGACCTGCGGGTTTACAACCTTGCTCTATGTGAATGAAACGAATATTTATGATTTAGTTATTTGTCCGATTTCAGATGATTTGCTTCTTGAAGTACTGTTTATTATCCATTACCTAAGTTGTTGGGTTGAATAATTGATCTTATACCATTTACTAGCACACTTTCTCGTGTAAAATCCATCTTTATGGTTTGAAGTTTGCACAAGCCCGATTATCATGTGTTTACCAAATGGAGTTGACAAGGTTCGAATATAAGACCTCTAGGTCATCCATTCTCAATCACACCCTAATTTTCATTATAAATTAACTATTATATCAAATTTACCAGTCTCCCGAGAACCCACAATGTGGCACTCGTCCTCCTCCCTGGTAGAAATAGAGTTTTTTGTTTTACAAATTTGATAAAATTTGATGAAATCCGGGGAGCCACTCTCAACTACTATAACTAATTTAATAATTTTCCTCGCGATCCAGCATAAATCCTGGGACTTGCCCTCTAACACTTTAGCTTTATACCTAGACTGTAATCACACACTATTTAGATAATACTTTCTCTCGACCGGAGAACACATCTTGATAATACAATTTCATAGTTAAAAAATCCAAAACAAGATAATATGAGTTATTTGACTACAAAAATTTTGTACGGGTCATTTAAAAGAAGAAATTCGGATTCTCGTGGAATTTTGAAACTAGGGAAATTCCAGTTTGATAATTTAAATTGATTGAAACATTGAAATATTGTTGTTTGGATTATTGGATATATGATCATAGAGATTGAATTGTGTTAATTTTTTCATTTCCAAGTGACGGAAGTGACAAATCTTGCTTATTTTGGAGAGCATCAAGATGAAGGGATTAAGGGCTAGAAAATTGGATAGTCCATTGATTTGATGAAATTTAAATAAAATTCATCATTCAAACGATCTTATCGTACAATGAGCTAACGATTCCAGATTTGGAAATTCCAGAATTTGAATTCTCGATTACTGTCTACGGAGCCTTGGGCGACGTCAAACTAAAGACTTGTCTTCTTCAGTAACCTTTAAACTGTTTGATTTTTGGCTGCCACTTGATTTATATTTTACTAGTCAGTACTTATTTAAATGGAACACCACTTTGCTGGAGCATGCATGGCCTTTCCTAGTTTTTTAAGTTTTAACTTTTACCGGGGTTGGTGAATGGTGGGTAGGATGGCTGGTTACGATTCCGCGGGAGTAAAAGGACGACCGGTCCATTTAATTAAAACCTTCTTTTTTTTAAGAATGTATTTTTTTTTATACAACACAGTTGGGCCTCTCTCCTATGAATCTATTTTCCTTATTGGATTAAGATTGCAAGTAGGCTAACAGAAAAAAGCCCAGCCCAGCCCAAACCAAACCAAATCAACACTACCATTTAATTTCCTCGTCATTCGATCAGCTAAGGAAAGCCCAACGGTAAAAATTCCCACATTTAGGCAAACTCGTACCTATAGGTGTCAAAACATAGCCCGACCCGATTAACCCGCCCGATCAACCCGACCCGCAATCCGAACGCAACTCGAATTGGCTAAAAGTCAACAACCCGTAACCCGCCCGACCCGCAACCTGACTAACCCGCAACCCGATTAACCCGAACCCGATTGACCCGCAACCCGACTGACCCGCAACCCGATTAATCCGAACCCGATTGACCCAAACCCGACTAACCCGTAACCCGACCGACTCAACCCGAATTTCAGTTAATCCACTTGAATAATTATAAAAATATACAATACATAGTTTTTCAAAATAAAGTTTTTCATTCTAAACTTAAGTAAAATTATTTTTTTCATTTCGTATAAGAAATTTTAAAAATATGAAACTCACTTGATATTACGTATTTTAAGAAAATTACAAAAATTGAAACATGAAGGTCACTTGAGATCATGACAATATTAATATAATATATAAATTAAAATTTTGGTTAATTTAACTATTCAATAAAATTATCAATTAAATATAAATAAAGTAAAGTAATGTATTTGGTAATTTGATGTTTTTAAAAGAAGAGGAAAATTTTGGTGTATTCAAGTTTTTGGGAAGAGAAAGAAGAGGGAAATTTGGTTCTTTGAATTTCTTAGAAAAGAAACAAGTGGGAATTTTGGTGGTTTTGATATTTGGAAAGACAAAGAAATGGAAAAGTTTGATTCTTTTGATTATGAAAGAGAAATAAATAGGGAAACTTTTGACTTTTCAACTTTTTGTAGAAGAAAAGAAGAGGGTAATTTGGTTCTTTCAATTTTATGGAAGAGAAAGAGGAGGGAAAATTGAGTTTTTCTAATGTATGGAAGGAGAAAGAAGGAGGGAAATTTTTTGTATTTTTGTGAAAAGAAAGAAGGAAACAAATTTGGTGTTTTCAATTTTTTGGTTTTTCATAATTTTAGCTTTTGAAATATGAATCTTTAACTTTTATATGGAGGGCATGACTAGTTAAAATTATTCTTATATGCTTTGAAGGCTAATATATATGTAATTTTTTATGGGCTAATAAATAAATTAACCATTAGTTACAACAATTTATACTAAACTTGATAAGTAATCTTTGACGGTTCGTTGTTTAGGATATAAAGTATATGGTTAGGGTATAAGGTATAAGGTACATATGGTTTAGTGTATATAGTTAGGGTATAAGATATTGATGGTTTTGACGGTTCTAAGTTTTTTTTATTAACATATGTTCACTTGAAGTTATTTGAAGTCTTTAACGGTAGGAGATTCCTTTTAATTTATGTTTATGGTACGTGGTTAGGGTACAAGGTATGTGGTGTAAAGTATAGGATATATGGTTAGGGTATAACAATTAGCAAATATCACTTTTTATCAATGTTTTGAAAATCAAAGTATGAATTTCACTTTTAAATTAACTATACTAGCAAAATCACAACTCAAGGACATATGGTTAGGGTATAGGTTATGTGGTTAGTGTATAATGTATTTATGGTTTAGGGTATACAATCAACAACATATACTAACTTAATATCACTACAGGAAAACTGGTTTTTGATCACCGGATCTTATTCACGGGAATGTTTCCCGTACTTAGAAATATACAAATAGTCACGGTGAAAATTCCTGTTTTTGGTGGTATAGTTCTAATCACGGGAATTAATTTAACTATCTTCAGCCTTCATTTCTCGTGACTACTTGTTAGTCACGGTTAATTACCGTGGTGAAATGACAATTTTTCTTTTCAAAATTTAGGTGAAAATCAAGGTGAAATTAAAAAAAAATCATAAAGAACATTAATTCAAACCCTATGGAAATGTTAAGCATGTATAGATAAAAAAAAAAGTGTACGACTATTTGCTGCGAACATAATTACTATTTGCAGCCAACACTTTTTTATAAGATTTTTATAAATTTTAAAATTCAGTAATATAATCCCAAACATCCTACAAACATATTAAGGTTATAGCAACAACAGTAAATAGTGCGCTTATTTATTGTAAACTGATCTTTTTCCGAGTTGCCGACATGGGAAATTACCCAAAACTTCATAGGTCACTTGAAATGTGGTCCTAAACACATAGAAATCGCTCATTTCTCGATTTGATGTCCTAAGTGAAGACATCATGAATAGTGCCAAAACTTTGATCGAGGTTTTCGGTAGCCCAGGGGGTCGAAACATCGAGTTTTGTGGGACTAGATTGAGTTTTTTGATGATGCAAACAATTGTTGTTAGTGGAGGTTGGAACGATTCGGCTTCCAAGATGACGTCGTAGTTGGGTTGGATGTATCAAGGTTGAAGGTTGATGCTTTTGTGGAAATAAGGGTTTATGGTTTGGGAGGGGTAGAAGAATTATTTCTAAAATTAAACACCAAACATAAATTATTTTTAAATTTCAATCCTAAACCTAAATTATTTTCCAATTCAAACTCTAAACCCTAAAATTGAGTTTGGTTTAGAACAAAATACCTATAAAAAAAATTAATCTACAAATTTTGATTCTCACAGATTCATACACATATATGAGTTTTCCTCTAAAAGAGCATAGATTAATAATTAATAAAAATGAGACTCTTTAAAATTGGAATTCTTCTCAAAGTTGGTTTCCCAAAAATTTCAAAAATGGGATTTTGCCCAAAAAATCTGTAAGTTCCGACTCTCATGAACACCTGATAAATTATAAAAATGAATGGTCGTTCTTCCATCACCTCAAATTCATCAAATGGAGGAAGATATATATCTTGTGGTGCATGGTCCATGGACACAAAACCCTTTTAAGATTTTCAAGGACACTCCTGCCAATAAGGCTTGGTCAAGACGTGAAGTAGTACGATTGTGGGTTTTCAACTTGGAGGTCTCGATCAGACGACTCAAATTCATTATACCTTGACCTCTCCAATATACAATTTTAATTCTTACATATATGGAACAAAATACCTCTAAAGAGATACTTTAATCCAATTACTACTGAATTAATATTAAAATATCAAATAAACAATTAACGGTGTCTTTTGGTTGCAAATATTGATATCACCATTACTATTAGTTATAATACTTTACCAATTATGATTAATTACATAACAAGTTTGCAAGTCATACAAATTGATTTAACATTTTGACTAGTTTTTTCAAAAAAATAAAGTATATATATACGGAGTAGAAATAAATTGGTTAAAAAGTTGAGAAAATATTTTAAATTAGTGTAATAAAATGTGTAAGTTGGTAATGAGTAATGAGTTAAGTTACTTGATGCGCTGACCCGAACAACCCAAAACTCGACCCACCCACAACCCGCCCGACCCAAAACCCGATTGACCCGCAACCCGATTTGCCCGCAACCCGATTGAATCCGAACCCGATAAACCCGCAACCCGACTAACCCGAAACCCGTTTGAACCCGAACCCGACTAACCCGCAACTCGTTTGAACCCGAACCCGATTGAATCCAGCCCGAACCCGCTCGAACCCGCCCGATTGACACCTCGTACCAAAAAGGAAATTATTCAAATTAATTAATTAAACCTTTCAATAATCACATCACTAGTGAAACCTCCTTCATTTCTCTGTATAATTGATCTTCAAACCATCAACTGTTACCTGATTGCAACTTTCAGTCCTAGGCACCAACGTCACCCAAATTGTCCTATCCTGATCAGCTTCTAAATCTTCCAATGCCTCCGATATACCAAGTTGCAACTTAGTCCTTTTTTTCGATGACGACGTGCCTCCTGGAATGTCGACGAATGTTCCGACAAATTCCCTATAAATTGGACTTAAAATCGTACTATTTACAACGTTGATGTAAACATCAAACTTCACGTAATCGTTTGCTTTCACGTCAATTCCTTCTACGACCAAGATCTCTTCCCGTTCTTTTTCATTCCTTCGATTACTATACCAAACCTCTCTCGGTCGATCTATCGGTATCGTTATGGTCGAATCGAGAACCCGATTGGTCGGCCCGAAGCGGCTGCTGGGCAAGTCCAGAACAACATTCCCCTCCCTCTCCCTCTCCCTCTTCCTGATTTCTCGCCGGGCGAGCCGGGGCGAGACCGAGGGCTCCGGCCGGGCGGCGACCCAGGCGTTTTCTATCTCCTCGTACCGATACCGGAGCTTGTCCATCTCCATCACGTCGCTGAATCGGATCCGAACCAGCCGGAGCGTCTCGTCGTAGAAGTAGGTGTAGGAATTCAGGAACGCCGGGTCGTCGAAACCCTTGTGGGTCTCGCTCCACAATCCCCAGAGGCGGTCGCCGTTGGAGTGGTGGGCATAGAATATCGGATCTCTCGCCGCGACGTAGAAGGCGCCCATGTCTTCCCTTCCGTCGATGTCCGGCGACCCGAGCCAGGTGTGGAGCGGGTTGTGCGGCGCCCGCTCAATCGTCCCGGGGCATTCCTCGTATTCCCCTGTCTTGTAAGGGCAGCCCAAGAAGAGCTCCGCCGTCTTGGCGCCGGAGACCATGTGGTTGTACATCAGCGCCAAATTGAGCCGGATCTGCTCCTCCGGCGTAGATCTGGTGGGATCCAGCTTCTTGAAGTTCAGATCCACCACGGTGGGCGGGTAATGACTCGGGTCGCGGCGGTGGTCGTTGAACGACCCGTTTAAGTAGAGCTCCGGCAGGGTCATCCCGTCGGGCGAATCCCAACCCCAAAACGGCAGCGCGAAGGTCTCGTCGCCGATCAGGCTGCCGAGGATCCTCTCGTGGAAGTAGAGGAACATCCGGTGCCAGGGGAAGAAGAGCCAGTTCCTGTGGACCCGAACCGGGAAATCAGAGCCCTGCTGGAGAAACGACCCGGTACAGTACTGGCAGTGGATTTCGACCTGCCGGGTGAAGCTTCTCGGGTCGGAGTGCGGCAGAGATTTCATGATGGAAAGCGCCTTCTCGTACTTGGCGATGTAGTCGTCGTCGAGCCGGTGGGCGAAGCGGCGGACCCGAATCGGGGTTGTATCCGGGTCGGGGAACTCGAAGTCGGATATCGGGTCGTCCAGCATGTTTCGGGGCGGGCAGCAGTTGACTAGCTTTCCAGGTCGCCCGATTGCCGGGTGACACGACGATAAGTTGACCGCGAGGGGTTGGATTTTCCAATTCGGACTGGTCAGGACCGACCACCCGGTCAAACCGTCGGGTACAACCCGGTTCAGCTTCCTGAAAGTAATCAAAGAAGAACAGAGCAATCAGAAACAGAGTACTTCGACGAAACTGAAAAATGGGAAGATTAAAGGAAGCTGCACGCTTTATACGTACCCAAGAATCTGAGTACCGATTGAGGGAGGATCAATGAAAAGGGAAGCGCCGAGAATGCATGTGAGGGTGATGAGTGAGAGAATCCATTTCCGTGGATCCGTGGAATGCAAGGAAGTCGCCATTGACGATCGAGCTATCTCTCTGCTCTGCATGGAATCTGCAGGTTACACTGTGATCTCTGCTTTCGGTGACTTGCCCATTAATAAGAAGACAATGTTGATGGAGAAAGAGAGGGAAAGAGATGAATTATGTGATTCACGAGTCTGCAAATAATTGAGAGCTTAAAGGCCTGAAATTGAGTATGTGGTGGCGTGGAGAAGGGTGGTGGTGGTTTGAACTCGACCGTACGATGGAGTTTGAGAAGGGACCTGGAGCGGAAGCCGGGTCTCCAGTATGAATTGAGGGCCACAAGGTGAAGAGATAATGGCAATGGCGAATTTATTGTGATACAGTAATCCCGTTGTTTTTTCCACTTTACTTCACCAAAGTGACGAGCACTGGTCAGGATCAGGGGGCCATCGCTCGTTCAACTTGCATACTAGAGTTAAGAAAATAGAATGATTGGTGAGATGGGCTGATCTATTGCTCGACCTGCACACAAAACTAAAATCATATACTCTTCTAGCGTTTGCTCCATCTCAGAGAAGATAGCACCGATGATGGAAACCTACTTTTTTAACCATAATTATCAATATTAATATTGTTAGGATTTATCTAGATATGGTTATTAGTCTTTGAGATATATTAGGATAGTTTATTAGGTTTTTGGGTTAATACCTTACTATGGCCTGAACTATGACCATGTAATCAACTTTGGCCCGTGGTTTGTGAAATTAACATCCTGGCCCGAACTATGCAGCATAGAGACAGAATTGGCCTTGAGCGTGGTTTGACCGTTTGTTTAGACGGTCAACACCGTTGACCGTTAGTCAACTGTCCAGGTCACTGCCATGTCACCAAAAAAAATTATTTCTTCATTTTTCTTTTTATTTCCATTACAAAATCGAATAATAAAGAAAAGAAAAAAAAAACAGAAAACCCAGGCCACCCATCCCCACCTTATCCCCTCAGTTTTTCGATCAAACCCAAATCCCTAACCATTCGCCTTCTTCCCCGACGAGGCGCCGCCTCCATTCTCTCCGTTTCAAATGCAGCGGCGGCCGGTCGTTTAAAGACGACGCCGTCGCCGTCGCACGTTTTCATCAGAACCCAGATAACCCATCCTCGCCTTCTTTCATTTTCGATCAAAACCCTAACCAATCGCCTTCTTCCTCCTTCTTCCCCGACAACCCGCCGCCTCCATCATCTCCGTTTCAAATGCAGCGGCGGCCATAAATCCTACCCAGAACCCTCACCTGTTCCTCGCGCGCCATCCCTTCCCCACCCTCGAACCCCACTGTTCTCTCCCTTCCCCACCCTAGAACCCCACTTTTCTCTCGTCAACAACAAAATAATCCACTTCTTTGTAGGCCAACCCTTCCCCACCCATCGCTATTTTCTACCAAACGCGAAGATAGGGTTTTGGGTTTGACCGAAAATGAAAGAAGGTTAGGGGATAAGGTGAGGATGGGTGGCCTGGGTTTTCTGTTTTTTTTTCTTTATTATTCGATTTTGTAATGGAAATAAAGAGAAAAATGAAGAAATAATTTTTTTTGGTGACATGGCAGTGACCTGGACAGTTGACTAACGGTCAACGGTGTTGACCGTCTAAACAAACGGTCAAACCACGCTCAAGGCCAATTCTGTCTCTATGCTGCATAGTTTGGGCCAGGATGTTAATTTCACAAACCACGGGCCAAAGTTGATTACATGGTCATAGTTCAGGCCATAGTAAGGTATTAACCCTAGGTTTTTCTAGTCTTTCGCTATAAATATGTAATTGGTCTTTCATTCATGAAAGTCAAGAAGAATATTAAGAAAAGTCTTCCTAAACCCTATTCTCCTAATCCTCCCAATCCCTCTAAAGGTCTAGGCCGATTCTCTATCTTTCTCTTCTCAAATCCCTAATTCTGTTCTTAATCTCTAAATCTCCAATTCCCGATAGAATCCTAATCCCAGGTTCTATCATTTGGTATCCGAGCCTCCAATGAGTTCCTCGTGGCTCTCTGATCTAGTGTGGACCCGTATCATACAAAAACTTGATGCTATTTGCGCTGACCAAGCCGCAACAGCGCGTGCGAAGGGCTGGCAGGTGGAGGCGGCGCGTGACCCAGCCAAGCCACCAGCAGTGCGGCAAAGGCAGGCGTTGGCGGAGGAGCCGCTGCGCGATGAGACCGCTGACGTGACGGCGACAACGCAGGAGGGTGGAGGGCGCGACGCAGCCCGCGGGGTCGTGGCTGTGGTGGCGGTGCGCGGCCGAGCGTTGCGGACCGAGGAGCACGAAACGCTGTGTTTGGCAGGGGCTTCCATCGCGCCGCGGAGTGGAGGTGAGGCGCTGCTGAGCTCGACGGGGGACGGCGGGGCGGTGCGGGCAGAGGAGGAAGGAGAGCGCGGCGGGGCGCTGCGCCCCGAGACGCTCGACCAGGCGGACGCGTCTGCGGCCCGGCGGCGTGATTCGACGAGTTCGACGATGAAGGGCGACGTGGAGTCTCCTCGTGCGACGCCGGAGTGGAAGGCGTTACGAGAGGAGGAGACGCTGCGGTTGGAGGCAGTTGCAGATCGGGTTGCGTCTCCAGATTTGGAGAAGGAGTCGTCAGCGATAGCGGGAGACGCGCCGAGAACAAGAAATCGGATAAGAAGGGTGGCGGCGAGTTTCGGCTTGCAGAGCCTAGGTCGCTAGTTTGGGGCCATGGAACGCGTTGGCAGCAGCAAACCACCTCATTGGGCCGAGCAGGTTTGGGTTTTAGGTGGGCTTTTGTTGGAATCGTTGCGGGCCAACAAAATCCGTTGTGCAGGTCGCAGGTTGTGAAGAATCAGGTCAAGTCAAAGTCTGGGTACGGGCCTGATGCACTAGTGGGCCAGGAGGGAAGTTCCGTAGACTTTGTCACCAAAGACAGGCCACGAATCAGAGGGCAATTTGAGTTCCGCGTGGGCTTGTGTTTGGAAAGGTTAGGCTAATCTTAGGAGGAATGGATCAGCAATGCGAGCCAAAAATTGAGAGGTTGATTGGGCCGAAAAGAGTGGATTGTTTGGAGTGGGAAGGAGAAAGAAATTTTGGTCATGGGCCTGGAATAAAAGAAAAGAAGGTTGAGCTCTACACAAATCAAATTGACCAGCGGAGCAGGCCAAGTCTGAGCAAGAATTGGGCCAATTTAAGACTTAGTTGTGGGCTGCCCAAGAAAAGAGCCAACAGGTTCAAGAAACAAGATGGGGTGTTTGCTTGGATTACCTTTATATGGATTGGGCTCAATAATTTGTGAAAAGGTGGAGCCTAATTGGAAGAAAAGAAAGGGCAAGAAATAGAGGATCAAATGCGAGGGTTGCACGAACGATGCGAAGAAGTGGGTCGAGTTGGTCAACCTTGTGGGCAAGGTTGGTTTTCAAGGTAGAGGGGATGATGAAAACCTACTTTTTAGGTTTAACCATAATTAACAATATTAATATTATTAGGATTTATCTAGATATGTTTATTAGTCTTTGAGCCATATTAGGATAGTCTATTAGGTTTTTCTAGTCTTTCGGTATAAATATGTAATTGGTCTTTCATTCATGGAAGTCAAGAAGAATATTAAGAAAAACCTTCCTAAACCCTATTCTCCTAATCCTCTCAATTCTCGTTCCCAATCCCTCTAAAGGCCTAGGCCGATTCTCTATCTTTCTTTTCTCAAATCCCTAATTCTGTTCTTAATCCCTAATTTCCCAATTCCCGATAGAATCCTAATCCCAGGTTTTATCATTTGTCATAAACCAGTTGGTCCCAATAACTTGAGTTGTTGAGAGAATGTTATGTTGGATCTTATACAGGCCCGTGTATGGTGCTTAACCACTTCCTTACACGCCCCCTCAAACGAAAGCCGACTCATGGGCTTAAAGTTTGCACAGGCCCAGCCCTACCATGTGATTGAAAGACAACGATTAATATTGGGGGTCGTGAGGACTTAAACACGTGACCTAAAGGATAAACCAGCTCTGATACCATGTCATAAACCAGTTGGTCCCAATAACTCGAGTTGTTGGGAGAAGGTTATGTTGGATCTTATACAGGTCTGTGTATGGTGCTTAACCACTTCCTTACAGACACAACCATCCCTCGAGTGACTCAAACAGAAACTTATCAATAATCACACTTTGGCTTCACCTATAATAATCAATGCATATCAATGGCCATGCGAATATCAACAACCTAATTCTCTTATCCGTTCAAAAAAATATGAGAGGCGCTCTCGCCTCTGTCCTCTGTTGGTGCTCGCTGCTCGGGAAATGGCTCACATGGGCCGCCGCTGCAATTTTCGCCGCAAGCTGGAGAAATCAAAAGGAAAAAGGCTGGTACCTGAAGCAGAATCGGGGATTGTTCAAACCCCCACCCAAGATTAGGAACGACGCCAGTCCTAGAGACATCGATCTCCAGTCGCCGGAGAAGATCTTGGGAAGGGTGGAATGGCGTAGATGTCGGCGCCACCACCAGAAGAAACGTCCGCGACAGTCGATTGAAGTTGATGTACCGGAGGAAAGCCCTCTTAAACGGAGGCGAGCTCAACCGAAGAAGCAATGGCGGTTCTGGCTCCCCCACTCGTTGGAGTTGGAAGGGGAGGAACCTGCTCGAGTCCCGTTCGCGGGTAAAATGTCACCGAACCCAGGAAGTTAGGTTGAACAACATGCTTCGATTGCAGACCTTGGTCGAATGTTTGCAGTCGGGGTAGGGATTGATCCCTTGAATTCTTACTTGGGGTGCTCTCAGATGGTTCATTTGCCTGAGGGAAGAGCTACCCCTGATGCGATGTCGGTGAAGACAAAGTCGCCATTTGATAACGATGTAATTGCACATATTTGCGCCCCTAGTTCTTATCCGTTTGAGGGGCATAGTCGTGTATTTTTGGCCTATTTTACGCCGGGTTGTGCTATTTTGTCATATTTCAGGTCCCAGGCGTCAAAGGGAAGGCTAAGCACGAGTTTCGGGGCATTCGGAAGTCATTCGGTCGAGCTGGAGCCAAAACACGGGCACACCTAAAACAGAACATGGCCGTGTTCTGTGGCCGTGCTTTTACTGCCGAGAGCTAATTGAGTTTGGAAAATTCAAGTTGCAAACACGGGATGAAAGCACGGCCGTGTCCACCAAAGCACGGCCGTGTCCTTCCAAAAGCACGGTCGTGTTTGCACCAACACAATGGCCGTGTAATTAACCGTAGCCAAAGCACGGGCGGGCTCAGGCAAAGCACTGCCGTGCCCTCGAACGTGCTTTGGCCACTGATGCCCTTTTAAGCAGATTTCAGCCAAAACAGAAGGGGATTCGAGTTTTAGAGAGACAGAGCGATTCCTAGAGAGAGAAAGTGGCGAACAAGAGTCTCCAAGTGCCCTAGCTTGATCTTCATCACCAGTGGAGGCCAGTTTGAGCTTGGAGAAGTGCCGATCAACGTCCAGGAGCAGGAATCCATCCTTCACAGTATGAATTCCGCGTCTGATTCTGCTTTTGCTTCTTTCTCCATGGAGTAGTTCTCCCATTCATCTGGGTACGGAGAACCCGAGATTTATATGTTAGGTTTGATTGTATGAACCCAAGTACTGATTCTATGATTTGATTATATTCGATTGAGGTTTGAATGATTGAATGGCATGAATCCTGATCAAATTCCTGTTGTTTCTGCTTTAACCTAGAATGAGAATATCTGCCTAGGTTGATAGAGCATCCTTGATTGAAGGTAGGGAGTTGGTGACTTTAGTCGAGGAGCCAACTCACTATTCTGTACCGGATTCACTCCGGTAGTGGAGGTTTTGTTTGTTAAGGCCTCAATTTGTTTACTCCGGTGGAGGTTAGTCACCCGCTAGAGATTCAGATTGAGAGGGTCTGAAGACCTTTAGTCGAGACTTCAGGCTGTTTAAGAACCTTCCGCAGTATAACCTTCATAGAAACTGAACTTGGTAATTGCAATCCGGCTTAACTGCAGTCTAGGGGGAACCATATCCGAGTGACCTCTCTTAACCTGAAAACAACAGTTTACTTGCTTTGTTAGTTTGTTAGTTTAGACTTGCATTAAAGTTTCATTGCTAGATAACAAGAATTCACCGAGTAGTCATCAAATCTAGGACCCGGGTTGACATTTAAACCCAAACCCGCTATACTACGCTTTAGGAAGTGGTTTCACTTGGTCAATTCCTGGAGTTACAGTAGAAGTGAGTCAAGTTATTGGCGCCGTTGCCGAGGACGGCTAGGTTGTTGAAGAAAAGTGATTTCTGTTAATTTAGCTTGTCTTTTCGCTTTGTTTGCTTTGTCCCACTTGTGCCTTCACGGGTTTGCTTGCTTGAGTGTGTGCAGGTAGTGCATGACCCGTAGCCAGTCAGGAGGTTTACTGCCGTTGAATCCAGAGATTGACCGCACCTGTCGTCAGCTCAGGAGACAACAGCGAGCTAGACTGGCTACGGAAGAGCGCATAGACGGCCACCTGAGTAGCGATTCTGAAGAAGAGTACGGGATGGACGGAGACTACAATCAGCACCAGGGGAATCCTCAGCAGGTTCCCCCGGTGAATCAGGTCCTGGGGAACAACCCCATACCCCAGGATCATGGGGTTCATCATCCACCGCCGCCGGGCCCCACCTTGGAGTACTACTACACTCCTCGGATTACTGACATCCGCCCGGTCATCCTCTACCCGCCTATTCCAGCAAACAACTTCGAGTTAAAGCCATGCTGGATTCAGCTCATTACATCTTCTATCCAGTTCCATGGCTTGAAGGATGAGGAGGCCAGGGTGCATCTTTCTCGTTTTCTGCAGCTGACGAACGGGTTCAAGCTGAATGGTGTCCCGGATGATGCAATCCGCTTTCATCTCTTCCCCCATTCTCTGGCGGGGAATGCTAGGTGGTTGGAGACCCAGCCCCCTATTGTCCATCACCTCTTGGGACGATCTGGCTGACAAATTCGTGCATAGGTACTATCCGGCATCGAAGACTACAGAGATCCAACGGGAGATCACTCACTTCCGCTAAGAGCCAGATGAGTCACTTCGTGATGCATGGGAGTGGTACATGGGATATTTCTGGCAGTGTCCCCATCATGGCTTCAGTGATGCATTCACAGTGAGGAACTTCTACAGTGCTCTCTCTCCAGATAGCCAGAGGGTGATTGAGTCTCTATGCCCAGGAGGGGATATTCTTACTAAGACTCCACCCGAGCTGAACCAGATGATCAATACCTTGGCTGCTAGAGATCATTCTTGGGGGCAGAGCAACAGAGGCAGACATTCCCGGGACCATGGTGTGCACGCCATGGAGACCAGATCCGGGCTCGAGCAGCAGGTAGCTGAGCTAGTGTAGGCATTGAAGCACCCCAACAGTCTTATTCCGGGCAGAGGTTTGGCTACACCTCCAGTAGCTCAGTGTCAGTGGTGTGAGAGCTCGAATCACCTAGTGGAGGACTGCCAGGCTATGAGGGAGTCTACTACCCCCCAAGACCAGTTGGACTTCATCGCCAATGCTCGGCGCCTCGACCCGTACAGCAACACATATAATGAGGGGTTGCGCCAGCATCCCAATTTCGCCTGGAGCAGCAAAACCACTAAGCCACCTGGTTTCCCAGCACCAGCTGGTGGCTTTCAGCAAAGGCAGCCCTTCCAGGCTCGACAGGGGCCAGCCCCACAGCAGCATCCCTACCAGCCTAGGCAGGGGCAACCATTCCAGCAGCCCCAGCGCCAGTTTGCCAAGCCAGCAGCAGCTCCAGCCCCAGATGACGGGATGACAAAGCTGGAAAATATTCTAGCCTCATTCATGACTAGCACTCAGGCAACTATCACGAGGTTGGACCAGAGCGTAGCCTCACTGGAGGCAGGTCAGAGGAACCAAGGTGCCATCTTGCAAGATCTGCAGCACCAGGTGGGTATCTTGGCCCGCCAAAACACTACCAGGACACCGGGGACTCTGCCTGCCACCAATATTCCGAATCCTCGTGATCCTCACCAGCTCCAGCAGCTGGATGCCATTTTTACCAGGAGCGGTAAGACCATATATGCTGATCCTGTCCCGGCCAGACAGGAGGAACCACTACCTGCTTCAGCACTTCCAGCCGACGATGCAGAAGTGCGGGTGGAGAAGGAAGCCCCTGCTCCCAAGCCACAACCAGTGGTTAAGGAGCATGTGCCCCAGCTTCCCTTCCCCACTCGCCTACACAAAGAGAAGCTGGAGACTGTGTTTGCCAAGTTTATGGCAATGTTGAAGCAGCTCAACATCAGCATACCGTTCGTGGAGGCACTGTCGAAGACGCCCAAGTATGCCAAGTTCATGAAAGACCTCCTCACCGACAAGAAGAAACTTGGGGATCTTTCGACAGTGATGCTTAGTGAGGAGTGTTCTGCTATCCTGCAGAACAAGCTGCCCGAAAAGCGCAAGGATCCAGGGAGTTTTACTATCCCTCTTACTATTGGCAGCATGCATGTAGGCAAGTCCTTGGCGGACCTAGGCGCTAGCATAAACGTCATGCCATATAATTTGTATAAAAAGCTAGACCTAGGTGAACTTAGCCCTACTAGGATGAGCATTCAGCTGGCTGATC